AAGGGAAGTTTATTTATATAGCACCTTTCAACACAAGGTAATTCAAAGTGCTTTACAAAAAATGAAAGACATGAGGAAAATGGCATTTAAAATCAGTCATTAACAAGAAAAGATAATCAAATAAACATTAAAAGAAAAAATACATGGATAAAAGTTACAGTGCAGTTTAAGATGTGAATAGTTCAATTAAAAGCAGCGGCAAAAAGGAAAGTCTTCAGCCTGGATTTAAAAGTAGTCAGAGTTGCAGCGGACCTGCAGGTTTCTGGGAGTTTGTTCCAGATATTTGGAGCATAATAACTGAACGCTGCTTTACCATGTTTAGTTCTGACTCTGGGGACAGAAAGCTGACCAGTCCCTGAAGACCTGAGATATCTGGATGGTTCATAATTTAGCAGTAGATCAGAAATGTATTTTGGGCCTAAACCATTCAGTGCTTTATAAACCAGCAGCAGTATTTTGAAATATATTCTTTGACACACAGGAAGCTAGTGTAAAGACTTCAGAACAGGAGTGATGTGATCCCATTTCTTAGTGTTAGTGAGGACTCGAGCAGCAGCATTCTGAATTAGCTGCAGTTTTCTAATAGTTTTTTTAGTGAGACCTGTAAAGACACCATTGCAGTAGTCCAGTCTACTGAAGATAAAAGCATGAAAAAGTTTTTCCAAATCCTGCTGTGACATTAGTCTTTTAATCCTATATATTTTCTTTAGGTGATAGTAGGCTGATTTAGTAACTGTTTTAAGGTGACTGTTGAAACTCAGGTCAGAGTCCATGACTACACCTAGATTTTCATTTTCTAGTCATTGATTTGTTCAATGCACTTACTCAGTGTTTTAACTGGAGAATAGTCTCCTGGTGAAATGGTTATGTAAATGTGTGTGTTATTTTGTTGTTTTTCATTATCTGAGCCAGTGGTAGCATGTAGACGTTAAAGAGAAGAGGCCCCAAGATGGAGCCTTGAGGAACCCCACATGTCATATTTGTCAACTCAGATGTGTATTTACCTATAGAAACAAAGTTGTTTCTGTCCTTTAAGTAGGATTCAAACCAATTTAGAACTGTTGCCGAAAGTCCCACCCAGTTTTCCAGTCGGTCGAGTAATATGTTGTGGTCAACAGTGTCAAACGCAGCACTGAGATCTAATAATACTAACACTGAAGTTCTGCCACTGTCTGTGTTTAAGTGGATGTCATTGAAGACCTTTACAAGAGCAGTCTCAGTGCTGTGGTTTGGACGAAAGCCTGACTGGAACACATCAAAACAGTTATTTAAATGCAAGAAATTACTCAACTGTTGAAAAACAACTTTTCAATGATTTTACCTAGAAATGGCAGGTTTGATATGGGCCTGTAATTGTTCTTTACTGAAGCATCTAGATTATTCTTTTTTAAGAGCGGTTTAATGACTGCAGTTTTCAGGGCCTGTGGAAAAATACCTGAGTGAAGAGACTTGTTTACTATATGAAGTAGATCTGAGGCCATGCAAGGAAAAAAACATCTTTGAAAAATCCTGTTGGAATAATATCAAGGCAGCAGGTGGAGGATTTCAGAAGTTGTATAATGTCCTCTAGGTTTGGTACATCGGAGCAGCACATTTAAAGAGGCGCGAGGGATGTGTATTTATGTCACTATGTCACGGAAGTCAACAAAGGAGTCCAATGGAGGCGTTTCAGACAAAGAGGGAGAAACTCACCCAGGAGGGAACTTTGGGATTTTAGCCTTTGCCGACCATTAACATGCAAACAAAAGCTATGTAACACTCTACAGGAAAGGGAGTGCAAGGGAAAATCCTAAAAAGGCATGTCCTTCTGTCGTCCATTTCCTGTGGTTTGTCTTGTTTTACCCCGGCTGATATTTCACTAAATCCACTGTTTTAATTGTTTCCTATATTGCCCCTGTCCTTGGGTGCTATGAAAGGCGCCCCCACAAATAAAATGTATATTATTATTATTATTATAGGCTCTCTTTAGTACACTGCCCTTTGTTCACACGTTATAAACACACACACACACGCACACGCACACGCACACACACACACACACACACACACACACACACACACACACACCACACCACACCACACCACACCACACACACACACCACACCACACCACACCACACCACACCACACCACACCACACCACACACACACACACACACACACACACAGCTAACCCCCTTTCTAACCTTTGAACAGCCTGACGCCATAGGCAAATCATCACTAGCACTCTCCATACATCTTTCACACGATAGTCACAACTGTCACCATGCATCACTTCAGCCTTTAAAAGGTGCGTGCACATACCCACACCATCAATCCATATATTAATTCCAAGGCAAGAGTGCCTATTTCCTCTATTTCTCACTCTATATGACCATATATCAATTTCCCGACATCCATCCACAGCTACAGCCACGTGTGTTTAAACTAGATGATGACTGAGTGGTGTGTATGACTGATGAATTATTAACAACGCCGTCAACGCGGATGCCCGAGCCGCCTAACCTCACATGCACTCAGAATTAAGCATGCATCCTCACACGCATCAGGCGTCCCATTTTAGAGCTGCTCAAAATAGAAAAGGGGAGAAAACAGTTATGTAACCCAACCTCGTTCTCTATTCTGTAAATTGAAAGGCATTTAGTAATACAATGAATGTGTCCAGACCTCCGAGGCTTAAGTAAAACACATCTTCTGCAGCTTTTGTCTCTTTATGCCAAAACCCCTGACTTCAAAGGTGCTGTGAAGAGCTTCACTCTTTATATATTTGTTCAGCTTTTTCATTATGCATGCCAGCTGTGGTGTTCAGAGACTGATAATACAACTTATTCAGGAAGGGAGGTCCATCCAATTACCTTTATCTGAAATTGGAGAAACACGATGTTCTTTGTAAATTATTATTCAGGAGACCACGTCAAGGTAGCTGCAAGTCATTGCTTTGTTGATATTGGAGTCAAATGCCTTAATCCATTTGTTTCTTTTGGTTGTTCCTGGATTTTAAAGCGGTTGTTTATTTGATATAATCAAATATCCATCGTCACCTAAAAATCTCAGATTCTAAATATTCACGCACATGGGAAGTCAAGGACAGACCTTTAATTCAGCCCAACCTGTCTGCGATACTTTAACCAAAAATATCATTTGAAAAAGTCTTCAAATGCTGACTCCAGTTTCTTCAATAGCCATAACAGTCGACTTAAATAACTATATATTTAAGCTGTGTATTGATGACAAACTGATTATTATAAAAAATGATAAATTTTAAGATGTAAAACAAGAGAAGCTTTTTTTCCTTTTTAAAAACATTTTTGGTGAAACAGAAATGAATTTGAATGTTCTACTGCAGCGAATCACATGTCCTTGGTCTTCCTTTTAGGCAGACAGTATAATACCCAAAATACAGAAGTGTATTTTATTTAATGATTTTCTGATGGTGTTCCCTTTCTCTGCATTAACCATGTTATACTTCTGTTAAAATAGAGAGCTTGTTTTCATGCAGCCATTCAAGGTTTTTAAACTCTATGCTTAAACCAATATTGTCATTGTTATATCAGGCAGACAGTCACATTAACTAATGTCATGGCCACAAAACACAAGAGATGCAGACTTTAAAACGACAACCCTAATTAGCTTTCATGATAAAGTTATCTTACAGTATGATGTCTTTGCTATACTTTTCTATGCCAATTTGGAACAATCGTTATGATGTAAAAATGTGCTAAATATGTTGCAGAAGACTTATCACTCATTACACGTTAGCGTGACAAATAAATGACGTTGACTAGCATTATATTTCTCACCAATTATCATCCTGTGCTTTCTAGAGTGTAGTAAGATGTATTGTACAGTGAAATTCAAGTGTGTTGCCTTTGGCTGTTTTTGCATGTGCTTTACTTCCTGAGTTGCTTGATGTGCATCACTCCGACAGGCAAACTGAAAACAACACCCATTGGATAAACACAAGAATGACCTTTTCTGATTTATTGTTTATCCATTTGGAAATCAAACACTGAAATATCTTCTTGGCCAGTCAGTTTGAAACTAACTTCCTGACGTGTTGATGCGCGTTGCCGTGTCTGTGACCTTTTAAGAATGGAGGTTCCTCTGACTCCTGGTGCGTGTCATCCTTTTCTCTGCCAGCCTGTCCAGGGCTTTGACTACGCCAAGAAGCACATGGGTCGGACTGGGGACGATGCCATCTCCGTCACCAAGGATACGCTGGTGCTGGTGGGGCTGCCTGTACGAGATGCTCCTCTGTCAATGTCGCTGGATAAGAAAGTCCACCAGGATGGGACCGGCAGCAAGAGGCCTCCGTCTGCTGACATACACAAAGGAGGGTAAGACTGCCAGCCTGAATAACTCTAAAGAACTGAAGGAAACTGCACAACCTTCAGCACATCTTTTTTATTGCTAATTTCTAACACTTTCATTCACAAGTATTCATTAGCGCAGCAATTGCTTTTATCCAGTGGTGAAAAATTACTTGGCACATTTATTAAATTAATGCATTTTTGATATTTTTCTAGTGTTGTCGTTTTCTGAAACTTCACACTTCCACTTCACTACATCTTAGAGGAAAATGTTGTACCATTATCTCCACTACATTTATTTAAAATCCCTAGATACTTGTAATTGTTCACAATTCAAATGAATGATTTCATTTATAATTAAAGCATTAATTAGACAATATACCTGGAGTAAATTACCCTGCAGTATACATTATAAATACATGAAATCAGCCTCACCTTAACCAGCTGCAACAAACACATTAATGAATCAATAATAGTAACTCATAAATAAAACATTTATTATTCTGAAGTCCTTTAAGTATGGATGCTAACATTGTTGTGCTTTTACTTAAATCACATTTTAATTCAGGATTTGTAATTATAACACAGTATTCCAACACTATGGTACAAGATCGTAGTACCTTTTCAACCGCTGCTACATATCCAAAAGCATTGACATGGGGAAATCTTAAGAACCTGATTATTGCGTGCCTTAATGTTGTTTGGAAACAGTACAGTATACTAATTTGCATATTTAAAGGCAGACTCCTTACTCAGCTGTAATAGATGTCAGTCAGAGTCTGTAGAGAGGGCACTGCTCACACCATCATACAACATTCATATGAGACGTAGATGTTTTGGCAAAGCCTGTTAATTCAAATCATCCCTTTAGCCTGTGATTCTGCAAAGGTTCAGCAGTCAGAGGAGTTGAATGGATGTTCCCAGCTGGAAGCCTTGTGAAGGAGCAGCTGTGTCATTTAGCGAACAAGCCAAGACTCGACCCCGAGCTTTAGAGCGGGAAACATCAGTGTTTGTTTGCGCGTCGCAGTGTTAAGCCAGAGAGAAGCCAACAGTAAGCAGAGCACACTGTGACAGATTGACGCGATCGGAAGATAAATCCAGTGTTAACAAGAAGCTGTTTGGAGACAGAAAGACACAATCCACGTATTTACAGGCACATTTAGAGGAAACAAAATACTAGGTGTAGCCGCCTTTGTCCTAAAACCAAAATAAACAAGCCAAAAAGCAGAATTAAACAGCCGCTGAGGCACCAGGAAGTGAATGAAAAGTTCAGTTATCTTGCGTTTTAACAATCAAACATACAAAGAGTTTTTTTATTTCCCTGGTAAAAACGATATGCCTTTTTCAAAGCAAACCACATTACCGATCACATAGTACCTGCTGCTGCCTTCAAAATAAAAGCAGTCAAATTAACTTAAAACTGACACCAAACAATAATGATCAAATGATCATTTATTTGTATGTNTTTGTGACATGCCCTATTGTTGTATTAGTATGTTACCTTAGTTTTTTTTTTAACACTAACCATAATCCACACACACAGTTGCGTTAGTTCACTATCAATTGGTTATTTTTAGTAATAGATACACAGTCATCTATAACGTGTACTTACCAGTTATTAAGATTGCGCACTCGTTCTATGTCATTTGGTAGTGTCCTCTATCTCATTGATGATTCATCACTCAGGGGTGTTAGAGTCTGAGTGTAGTAACTATGTGGAACATCCATCATGGGAAGAGTGTAGCAGCTAAGCGGCAACCTAGGTGGTGATTTTTCAACGTGGCCTCGTCAAGTTCTTGAGTGGCTGTCCTCTGCTCTACTATATTGCTCTGATGTCAGTATAAAGTTTTAGGATTTCATAGAATGTGTATGGTCTCAGCCACGATGACGGGGTTGAGGCGGTCTAGAGTGGAATCCTTGCTAGTGTGTGCTCTCATTTTCATCTTCTTCGAGCGATGGTTGGCCGTGTCTGGAGTGCTGACTTGTCTATGATCTGGAGACTGTCTGACCTGCTCATGAGTCGGAGGATTATCTGTGGGGAGAACACTCAACATGGTGCCGCAATATGGAAGGGATTGGGAGTGTTTTCATGTTGATAGCTGAACCCTTGTCTCATCAGAGGAGTGGTTCTATCTCTAACAATGTGGTTGTGAAAGTATTCAACAGTTCCTTTGCGAATCCTTTGCTCTTTTGTCGTCGGTTGAAAGTCCATATCAGATACTGAATTTAGCGGACTAATAAATTGTTGTTACAAAGCTAAGGAGGAAAAATATTTTGCGTGTTTTAGCATGGTGGAGGAGGTTTGCGAGGGAGAGGAATGGTGTGGGTTTATATAGTTTGTTGTGTTGTGATTGTTTGTTGTTGTATTTTTGCGCGTTACGAGATAGTATATTTTGTTTTGGGAGATTTCCCGGGTGGGAGAACGACTGATCAATGAAATCATCTGTGAGAGGCTGGGTTGTTTATGCCAGCTGTTGACGATTTTACGTTAGTGTACTATTGAGGGTTAGTGGTTTTTTCCAGATCTCTCGCTTGTATGTATGTTCCGTGTTAAGCAAGGCTTAAGTTGTATGTTAGTATCGATGTCTGAATTATGCGAAACAATGTTTAGTTTATATTGTGACTGAAGCTTCCTAAGAAATTGTTTGTTTATATTGAATCATGGAGTACCAATAAACTGTGCACTTTAGTGGACTCGTGCCGTGTTTAGGTTATGTGATACGGTTTACAACTTGTGGATTCTGTGTATCAGCGTACATTAATGTTGGCTTTGGAGGGCGGAGGTGGGGGCTAGCCGGGGTCGTTTGGTTGCTGGATATAGCAAGTCTTGAGAGAATTAAAATAATGCCAGAGCTTCAGGTCATGCATTCCTCCATTACAAGCTTCAAACATGTATTTATCGTTTGATTTTGGAAATAAAAGTTTCAGATTCTGAAAGCCAAGACTTTGTTTATTTGAAATCAAACAAAACACCAAAACCCCGAAAAACTAGTTTTTTACTCAAATCCACGTTTATTTTGTAATGAGCCGTTGCGACTTCCGACTGATTTCGATAGAGCGGGTCACATATTGTTGACCATTACAAAAATCTCACTAAAACGGATCATTTTTGTTATACTACAGTCATGTACACAAGCAGCTTCTCCATAGCAGCTGCAGTAGCTGAGGCTGCGTAAAGGGATGCTAACAGTTGCTAGACGGTGCAGTATCTCTGAGTGGATGAGAATATGGCCAGCCTGTGTTCACATGAGATCATACAGCTGGCTCCATGGGGTCCAGCAGATGTATCTTGAGGCCTGAGTCATTTAAAGGGGAAGTGTGAATCATCAGTAATAAACCCCCTCACTCACGCAGGGACAGTGTTTCTATTTTTTATCTAAAACCTTCATTCAAAAAAGATTTGAAATGATGATTGCATCAAGGTGAGAATAAACAGCTTATTTTTGGTAAAGGAAACCTTTCCATCCCACCAGGATTCACTGAATGTGTCGCTCAGATGTGGGAGGCTGTTAACAGCTCAGAATTATTGTTGCAATTATCCATCCATAATAATGTGATCCATGTGGCACCTTCACTTCTCCTCTGCAGTCATCACACATCAGTGGTGGAACAGCGCTGTTAAAATCACCTTGTGTTAGAGCTATACTTTGTTTTGCAAGATTTCATATTTCAACTTTTACTTTCATGCTGTTCTATAGAACCACCTTGCCATGTTTTCTATATTCATATTGTTATTAACTTAATGACATTTAGCTGACGCATTTATCCAAAGCGCCTTACACACAGTTCAATACCGTAGACATGCCTTACGGGAGCAGTTAGAGGTTCAGTATCTGGCACAAGGGTAGTTTGACACGTGCACTGCAAGAGGTGGGATTGAACCGGTAACCTTCTGATTTGGAGAGCAGTGCACTAACCTTCATTTATTTGTTATAAAACTCCCAAAATAGGCAATTCAAGCAATGTCATCACCTCTACTTCCCCCTTTCAACACTGTGTCTGCACTCTCTGGCCCAAAACAATAAATAAAAACATTATCTCTACACTATCTCCAATAAAACGTATATACAAAATGGAAAGAAGGAAAAAGACGAGACTAAATAGATAAAGGGATTTATGTCGAAGATCATTTTCACACCTCAACACTTAACGCATTTTCTTCCCCTGGTATTTATTGTTTTTAGTTAAGATCATTTGAAAATATTTGGTCAATTCTTGGCTCAACTTCCTTCAAATGTATGACTCTGCTGAACACTTATCTTGCATCAACATACAAATAAATGATCATTTGATCATTATAGTTTGGTGTCAGTTTTAAGTTAATTTTACTGCTTTTATTTTGAAGGCAGCAGCAGGTACTATGTGATCGGTAATATGGTTTGCTTTGGAAAAGGCATATCGTTTTTACCAGGGAAATGAAAAAACTCTTTGTATGTTTGATTGTTAAAACGCGTTTTTTACATAGATATCATATTTAACCCTAACAACACATTTTCTTTATTAAAGTGAGTCAGAGAGAGAGAGATGGAAGATGTTCTCAGATCCTTTACTTAAGTAAAAGTATAAATACTTTGGTCGGAAAATACTCCATAACAAGTAAAGTCCTGATTTCAAAATGTTACTTACTGTAAGTAGATGAAAGGAAGTATTATCACAAAAATGCAAGTATCAAAAGTAAAAGTACTCATTATGCACAATGGCTCTTTTGAATGTATCATATTATTATAAAATACTATATTGTCGCGTTTTATTCGCTTATAAATATATGTAAGAGCTTTTAATGTTGTAGTTTGTCAATGTTTATCCAATTTAAAAGGATTTTATAAGGAGTAGAGTACTGCATCATATATCAAATATGTCATTTGTTTTTTAATGTAAAAGAAGCATGTAACTATGAGTGTTGGATTAATTTAGTAAGAGTACACTATTTTGCCTCGAAAATGTAGTACAAAATGGCATAAAAAAATAGTAGTCAAGTACAGTACTTGAGTACATGTAGTTACATTCCACCACAGTACATATACATA